GGATTACGATTTGAATGAATCCAAACTCATGCCAAAGGAGACAATCCAGTCATCGATGACTAGCATTCAGACGAAGAATGAGAGGGGAAGCGGTGATGTGCCCGAAGCTAACGATTCGAAGCCCGAGCCTGAAGGACACCAACCAGTGAAGAGTCCGAAGACGAGCCGATCGCACAAATGCCGGGAATGCGATAAAACCTATTCAAAGGTGCAGTACGTGAGAGACCACGAGATGACAGTTCACTACAACTCGGGTCCCAATTACTCGTGTCGAGTGTGCGGACAGGCGTTTGGGTGGAGAGTAACCATTTTGAAGCACATCAAGAAATTTCATCCGGAGCACCACTCCTCACAAATGATTGCCAAACTCTTCTAAACCTCACATTTCTTAACACTAATTCTTGTCATTTAATTTGAGTGCAATTTTTTCAAATTATTTTTACCCCAAAATTTATTATTTTATTTTTAATTCGCAAATTATTTATTCAAAAAATAGCATTAAAAAGTTTATATAATTCTGAATTTATTTTAAAAATTATACTTTTGTAAAACGATTTCAGGGAAACACCAAAAAATGTATTAAAAACACTTTGAAATTGAATAAAGGTTTAATTGAATTCAAAAGTTTAGACAATATTGTTTGGGTCCCAACAGAAGCGTGTGTTTGAATTCAATGCGTCGATTAAAGCCATGTCTTCCTTCGAGATCTCGAAGTCGTATAATTCAAAGTTTGGCTTAAGATTCTCCACACGAGAAGTCTTGGGAATAACGCCTAAAATTCAAATCATTTATAGTACTAATTATTGCAAACTAATCCAAAATTCATATTTGAATTGATATAAAAATCAAAACACATACAAACGTTGTGCTGAAGACCCCATTTGAGAAGTATCTGCGGAACGGATCTCTCGTACTTTTTGGCCACTTTTATAAGTGTCTCATTTTGAGATAATATTTGCCATCCCTTGACCGCACCCAACGAGGAATAGGCCTGAATTACAACACCTTTTCCCTCACAATATTCTAGTAATTCTTTCTGATATAAAAGCGGATGAAATTCAACCTTCAATTCAGTGAAAATGCAATTTTAGTCAACTTATAAAATTTATATGCATTTAATGCACAGTAAATGTAGATATAATGACAAATGAAAACCTGGTTAACTGTAGGCAACACTTTGCAGTGATTTAGCAGTTCTTCCATGTGTTTAATCATATAATTTGAAACTCCAATTGACTTAATTAAACCCTCGGAATGTAAATCCTCTAAGTCCTGGTAACTGCCTTTCCTTAGTTCCGAGTTCTTGGGATCGCTTTGATCCAAACCACGGACTCCTGGCCAATGAATGAGCACGAGATCGACATACGGTGTCTTCAACTTAGCGATCGATTCCAAGACAGCGGTTCTGCACTTTCCTCTTCCCTGATCCGAAGTGTCTAAACACACAATCAATCACTTAATCAAATCATTTCACAGTCATTCACAAAAATTGTATCCAAATTAATACTCAATTTAGTGGTAATGAAGACATCGTCTCTCTTGAGACCAAATTCGTGTAAATTTTCGATCACTTCTCCGATATATTCTTCGTTCTGATAAGCATTAGCCGTATCTGACATTTGGATTCAAAATGAGTGCCAAACATAGTATAGTTATAAGAGTTTGTATTACCAATCAGTCTATAGCCGGTCCTCAATGATTGGGTCACTATTTGTTTGCAGACATCTCTGTCTTTGATGAGATAAGTGCCCACTTTTGCACACAATTCATGTTAAGACAATAATTATGGTTAAAATTATTACAAATTCAGTGCACAATCAATACATACATCCAATGGCAGGGATTTTAAGTCCATTATTCAATGACAACATAATTGTCGGTCAATTCAAACTCAACGCAAAGAAGTGTTAAACTCTTTGATGAATAGCTTTGAAAATGCAATCAAACACTGAATTAAAGCCAAAAGTAATTGAAATGAAATATAAAAGTACTGAAGAGTCGGAAGTGTTTGACGAGAGATGGCATTGAAGTGAGTGTTGGGTTGGACTGAATGGAGTGAATGCGTGAATGCAGTCAATACAGTCAATGGCAGCACTGGTTGTGTTGTTGTCTTCATTAGCCATACAATTGAGTCCATGTTTTGTCCATTCATTCACTTCTCGCTGCAATTGAAGACATCCGAGGAAGTGGTGAACGTGACAATCGATGGTCGGTTCCCAACAAGTGATGAACACTGACGACAACATCGAGAACAACATTTCGGCACTCAATCAGTGATTATATACGAAACGAGTGTTTGCTTTGAAATTGAATGTAATTTTGTGTTGAATTTATTGATTGAAATCAGGGCTGAAGTGACGACAAAGAAGTTATACAAAGAGTGCAAACGACTCAACGATTGCATACAATCAGTGAATCTGAATGATAGCAAATAATTGAATGTAATTTTGTGTTGAATTTATTGATTGAAATCAGGGCTGAAGTGACGACAAAGAAGTTATACAAAGAGTGCAAACGACTCAACGATTGCATACAATCAGTGAATCTGAATGATAGCAAAATGACTACCGATTTGTCCCCCAATTCATCCCTAAATGAAGACAACTCTGTCGTCAAAATGATGAGAGTTTCCCAACAAATGCCCGCCTATTATGAGGTAAAACCCTTGTGTCAACTGATCCTAACTTACGGCTAGTGTTGCAGACATTTATCATTTACTAGTTATCATATAATGAGTTGTATTTAATATAATATTTGGGACCTATTGATGGTGACACTGGCTGTCACTCACCTCCTATTTTGTATACCAAAATGGCCATGTATTTAGTGTTGCCATTGGTTACCATTGCATTACCATATAATACACATCTCTGACAAACAATCATGAATTTATGCCACCTTTTGATTGCCTGTTAGGCTGAGGCACGACTGGCCGCCCGACGCGAGGCCCGCACTAAAGCTCGAGAGATACGACTCAAAGAGTTGGAGAAACAACAAAACGAGATCAACGAAACCAGTGATCGACACTACGAACTCTTCGGCAATCCTATCACCAGTTCTGCCACCAAAACACCCGTCACTGCCAGAG